AAAAAAAAAAAAAAAAAAAAAATTGCATACCTTTAATAATATGTAGACTTTAACTGATGATTTGTAATTTGTATCATATAAAACTTAAAATGTAGCTGCACATTTATAGATGAATGTAATTTTTCTTATGTATAGTGATACGTAGAATAAAGTTGACATAGTTAATGAAAATCAACTCCTTTTTAACTGATTTGTTTTGTCACAATAATAAAAAAAATAAATACAGAATGCGTATATTGGCACATGTATAGTATGAGTCACGTCTCTCAAGTTCTACAGAATAGGAAAAAACAAGCACATTTGCAATGTATATATGTAGTGTTTACCTCGTCTCCCTACATCTGGATAATATTGATAGCAATTTTGTAATTGTATGTATGTGTGTGTGCAGTATTAGTATTAATATAATATTAGCAATAATTTATAATAATAATGGTAGCTATAGCAACAGTAGCAGAGTAGCATATGTGTAAAATTGCTTCTTTCCAATTGATTGATCAGCTTAACGATCAAGCAAAAACACTAAAACAAGCAAACCAAAGAAGCTGTCGCGTATACATTTGTGCTTTCCAAAGAAATCAAAATGTTCCAATCGTCTTGTTATTTTCGATCAATTTGTCCTGCTGATAATTAACACTTTTAATCGAATTTACTGGCATTATGTTCCAAAGAAAAAAATCGATAGTCATCGAATGTTGCTCAAATTCGCGCTATAAGCTAGTTTAAATAAATTGAATAATCGCGTTTTGAATCGTATGATTAGATTTTATGCTTTCTCTATGTGTTGTCCAATTACGCTTCTCGCGTTTCTTTCAGGGCACAGCCGAAATGAATGGAATCTGTATTCGCCCTACTGTACGTCACGCGCTATGTCCGCTAAAAATCACTTGGTGAAAATATTATAAGTAACGACAACGATGTAAAAAATAAACTTCCTCTTCCTGATGTTACAGAGAGAGGAGAGGGGGAAGGCGCATATGTATATCTCTAGAAGATAACAAAAGAGAAGTCTAACTACTTAGAAATCTACATTGGTATACGGCGGGTGAATGTTACAATTTTCACGATTGCATGACAAATAACCAAGCAGCAAGTTGTATAGTCTTGACTTTGTCAGTTAATTATAGAAGCGTTTACTCGTATTTATTAACATCGGATAGCAAAGCGGCGACTGTTTCCGACTAGTAGATCCACTGTAGAATCTATTTTTCGACGTATCAAAGATTCCAGTAATACGCCTGATAACGGTTGCATGTTCGCACAATTCGCATTCCTCTTGCGTTCCGATGAAAGATTTGAGAAAAAAAGAGGTTCTTCTAGAGTCACGGCATATTAGAATCGTGCCGATAAGCTTGCTTGGTCCTATTCATACCTCTAAAATTGTTAATTAAATATTAACTCGAGGATACTGAGATAAGAATCGATAATTTTATGTGTACAAATTATTTATTTTTGTGTGCACAATATATAAATATATTTATGATTTATCTGACATATATCTTACCCTTGATACAACATTCAAAACGTCAGTTCCTCCGTGTTTTCCGCGTCGGAGGAAAGCGCTTGACGCAACGCTTCCATACAAGACTTTGGAATAAGCGTCCCGACAATCTTCAACCCTTCATCTGTCACAGAAACAAAAATGAGAATATGTCGTCTTTTCGATTTTACTGGAACGATAATTATGAATAATAGAAAAGTAATTATCGACTTACCGGTTCGCAGCCTTACAACTTGCATCTTAGAATTATGTCCAGATCGTGCAGCGAGCACATTTTCCACGCGGCTCCAAACACTCAGAACCGAACCGGCTAATACATTATAGGAACGTCTTCTTAGCCCCACTTCACAGTCCATGAGTCCGAGAGTGGCGTTTTTACAATTTCCGCTCCAATACGCATGTGAACACGTATTCACGGAAGCTTCATACTGTTGCGTCCAGTGTGGCTCCGCCTCGTCGGCACTCACTTTCTTATACTTTTTTTCTAATTCACCTAGAGTCTCCTGTCGTAGCTGTAGTCCCGTGTTGGGCCTACAATAAATGATTATATCTATGATTATATCATCTCCATCGATGTCAGAGATTGTACTGTATAATGCTGATAAACACAATTCTGTTGTTTATAATACAGTTTAATCTGCTGTAAATATAAATGTAATAGCGGAGCTTTAAATAACTATACCTATACACCATATAAAGCTGATCTTTCTTGCTCTCGGTTTTCTTCTTGCCACTGTCCACTACGATCGCGAGAATGGCCGTCTGTTTGCCATTACGGATTTGATGGCTCAGGTAGAAACCCTCTTTCGGACCGGTTAATTCCGAGCATTTGTTCGTGGCTTCGGACCAGCTCATGCCACGTTCAACATGAACCACGTGTAATTCCGTTGGCGCCTTGCCGGTCGCATGTTTTCGCAAGAATCGATATAGTCGCACTCTGTGGACGTTTTCGCCCGATGTCCCGAGGTCGAGGATACCCATGTCGAAGCGGCCAGTTTTCTTAGCCTGCGTGATGATGGCGTTGAGTGTATCGGTGAAATATTTGAACAGACGATTTTGCAGATCGACCGGCATGCCGAGAATACGATTCAAGAATTTTGACATGTTGTTGTAGTCCTTGTCGAGCGTAAGCACACCTGGTGTGCTCTCGCTGTTGCAAATCAAACCGACGCCCACCAGCGCGTCAGCCACGTCTTTGAAAAAGTCTCCATGATAGTCTTGAGGTGGTGGTACTAATGGCGCTTCATACCTGGAATTATAATTTATCAATTCTATAAATATCTATATTCCACATCTTTTACGAGATAATTTTTCGGTGTACTTTTGATTGATACGAACCCCATTATAGTTTTCATCGTCGCTTCCAGTGCCGCGCGACCATATTTGTTATCGATATTAAATTGCGAGAGATCTCGAGTCTCCGTCGCGCGACGATCACCGTGCGTTAGCGCACCCAGACTTTCTAGACGCTTAGCAACAATCGAGGCAAATCTCCTTTCTCCGGCCAAATCCGATATAAGAAATATATATTCCGGCGCGTTAACTTGATTCGATCGATGTGTTCGTCCAAACTGCTGTATCGCTCTATCCGCGCTCCACGGCAATTCGAGAGTGATATGCACACGTCGCATTTGATTCCTCGCTCGTCTGTCGCTCTGTAATGATATACCGCTGCTGGCCGCTTCGGAAATTATCGCTACAGTTTTCTCTCCATCCATGAACCTATACAAGAGATATCCGTTAAAAATTTCTGATGGAAATAAACGCATTTAACTTTTGTAGACAGATTTATAAAGATTTAATATAAGTTGCAATTATTATAAGAAATAGTATTTTATGTTAAGAAAAATCTCTCTGCGAATCGTTAAAAATTTTAAAAAATGTGCGAGTTAGTGAAAAAATGCTTATATGTAAGAAATTTTGTCCGAATTTTTGACTTGACGTACCTTTGCTTCTCTGTCAGATTGAGGGTTTCCAAAGGAACATCTACTTCCGATCTGGACTCGTATTGTATTGCACCGTCCTCTGTTTGTACGACGCGACCTTTTCTACCTGTCATCTCTGCAACATTCTCTGGTCCGCCGAGCTCATCTATCAATTGATCTAGCGTGTTTGGGGGCAATCGCTCGCCAAGAGTCTCTATTTGCGATAATAATTCTTCCTTCATACTACAAGCTCTTTCGATAGCATCTCTAGGCGGTGCCTGATTATTAGGCATAGCTCCGCCAATGGCATTCATAGGTCCACCGCTCATCGCCGTGTCGCCATTGCGTTTATTTCTGTTACCCGACTGTTTGTGCACCAGCATCGACTGGATTTTATCTTGTGTGCTCAAACGTTTCTTCGCGGGTTTCTTTTGTTTCTTGCCCTTTTTCTTTCGCCTATCCCAAGGATCTAAAGACAAAAAACAATTATTAAAATTTTGCTTCGGTTATATATATGTATATATAACTCGACATAAAAATTAAAGTAAAAAAGAATGTAGATTACAAAATAAAAAGATTGTGCAAAATTACCAGCATCAGAATCGCTGTCGCTGAAGAACGGATTAAAATCGGAACTGACATTGCTCTCTTCGTCGGTATGATGATCATCTTCGCTTTCACTACCGCTTAATTTAAACTCCGAACCAGAACTATGAGCACCGTTTCTATCCTCCTCCGATATCTCCTCTTCTGACGACCAAGCGCGCACTTTTTTCGATGCACGCTGTGCCGCTTGCCGGATTGGTTTCCTTTTACTACCACCCGCAGAACCACCAGCACCATCCATATCATCATCGCCTTCTAATTTAAGCTTTGGTGGTTCTAGACCGAGAAGACGTTGGATGCGATTACGATCTGGTGCCGGAAAATGTTTCTCCACTAGCGTTTGCAAAACACCCCTGCAAATGTCGAAATTATTATGATTATTATTAGATATAACACAAATTTGTACCATAATTTCTTTTTTTTGTTATGTGTTAAAATGTCACTGACTTGGCAGTAGAAACGAAATCGCTGAGTTCACCGTCATCGCGTTCTAATTGTTCCAAAGTGCGTGCCTCGCCGGTAGACTGCAGACCAATCACTACGCACTTGCCGCATTTAACCGCCTCGCGTGCCACAGCAACTGCATGCTTTACTTTCGCAGCAATACAGAGATACTTAAAGAAGCGCTGATGTGATGACCAAAATTGACCCCACATCGTCTTTTTCATGCGATTTTCCGCGTCTATCAACTCTGCCGCTTCTTGAAATCTTTGCATCGCTTCCACCCACTAGATCAAAGTATATATATTATGTTTGAGAATATTTTGAACAATTTGCTTAAAAGTTTACATGTTCGCACGCGATAACTTACCAATCGTACTGAATGATCATACACTTTCGTGAAATCCTTGGAAAGAGGTACCTCCTCAATCTTGAAGGCAACACCGTGAAAACTCAACTGTCGAGCAATATACATACCACGCAGTTTCATGTCCATTGCTACGATTTCCATCGCGCCGACACCGCGTTTTTCCACAGCGGTGATAAAATCGTTAAATTCCGGGAAAGGTGTGCCTTCGCCCCACATGCCTAGTCGTACCATATAGGCCATGTTGCGAGGTTCGGAAGCGCCGGTGGCGCTGGCGTATACGACTCGAGCCTTTGGAAGTTTATTTTGTAGTTCCAAGACCGTTAATCCTGCAAAAGTTTTATTATTGATAAAATAAAGTCATCCAGTAGTCATGTAGATGTTTCAAACAAGTAAATGCTTTTTTTTACATATAAAAATTTATTTCTTAACCTGTCTTTGTAGGTTTTGAACTTCCGGTAGGGCACAAATTTTTCGCACGATGACATTCGTCAAAGATTATTAGACCATCAAAATCTTCACCACACCATTGCAATAGCTGTTTCAAACGGCTCTTGTATTTTCCGCCACTCTGTGACGATTCACCAATTAATGCAGAATATGTGCTGAAGATTACACCTTTTTTCACATTGCCATTTACGGCTGATGAGATTTTCGCATACTTAAATTTATTCAATGGATGTACCTGCAAATAGATTTATTTATTGTGCCGGATTTATAATAATTACACAAAATTATTAAAATGTAAGTAATATATGTATTGATTGCAGATTAAAACAAAATTAGAATTTTAATATTAATATCTTAATATCAATAATGTATATATTTAACGGTACATATATTTAACACAATTTAATACAAAATAAAATACATACTTCGATTTTAGATGCTCCTATGTCTTTTAAATCGCGTTCGGCGTCGTATTTGAGGTCGTTGGACACTGATACCCAAATAGCACGTTTTCGGCTTTTCAAATAATTCTCGAATATTACGCCGGCTATGGTTCTGCCTTTACCGACACCTGCACCGTCGCCAATGAGAAATCCGGCACGTGTACCATCGGGCAGCAAATGCTCATGCTGTTGAGATGTGTATGTGATAGACTCGAGTTGAAGCGCAGATAACGCGCCAGATCGTATCGTATCATCCGGTATGGATAACTTATACCAAACATCTGTTGGCTCGACGCTTGACAAGGATGCCGTTTCGACAACCGGATCCGGATGCTTTCGTCCCAGTTTGACTGTTAATTATTACAGATTTTACTTTAAAATAAGCAGCGCATAAATAAAGAAAAAGAAATGATTGATATTAATACATACGTTTTGTTGGCATGTAATCGGCATAAGTCTCGGCAACACCCATATCTTCATCATCTACTTCTTCCTCTTCTGGTATATTTGGTTGCATCATTTTTGTTGGATCACCTGAATTCATCCACATTTGTGACACGGTTTTTCCTATAATAAAATTATAAATATAATATAAATTTGCTTTTATGAACTCGGAATGTTTTGGTAAAAATATCCTTATCAACATATTGTAAATACCTGAAAGGCCTGGCCAATTGGGATGAATTCCACTTTGATTAAGCAACTGAACAAAAGGGTTAACTCCCATATTCATCCCAGGCATACCCATGAAGCTACCCATTAAAGCATTCATATCCATGCCCATACCTAAAAAATAATTAGCACAAATATATAATTAATAAATATTACTATAGCAATTGTAATTTGTTATTAATTCGTTTATCACAAAAATAAGAATTTAAAAATTTAATTTTCACATTTCGTAAATATATATGTATAGCTTAATGTTATCTATAATCTCTCAATATATTATTTTTATAACAATATGATAAAGATATATAAAAATGTCATCTTATTTAAGATACAGAATAGTCATATATAATTAAGCAAGAATAACTTGAAAAATGAATTTTATATTTCCAAAAGATTATAGTAATTTATATAAGTCATGTATGTGCATAGGTGATATATTCATACATACACTTTTATATGAGTTTTTAAAAACTAAGTCACGAGAAGAAAATTTGTTTCCATGTAAAATTTTTGACCTCAGTTATCACATCATAATAAAAAAAGATGATTAAAAAAGTAAACTTACTAGATTGCAGAAAAGCAGCAGGGTTAAATCCTGCAAGAGAAGCTAATCCTGGTGGAAAACCATATCCACTAGCTGCTAACTGATTGAGTTGATTTAATTGATTTGTGTTAACAAATCCTGGTGGATTGCCTTGAGAGCCTCCTACATGCACCATTTCATAACCTGGTGTTGCAGCCTTTGTTACTAATCCTCCAGGAATTTTGTTGCCAAATTTTTGGTTTAATGCTAAAAATAATTTTTACAAAAGATAGATAATATTGAAATAGTAGAAAAAGCTAATAAAAAAAATTGGCTTTGCTTTAAATATTATATATGATTTACCATTCAATGCTCCTTGTGTTTTTTCCAAAGAATTTGTTGGCAAATCTGTAGGCTTTTCATCTTTGATATTAGCAATTCCAGCAGCAGTTGCAAGATCTTTACCACCACCTAATAAAAATTATTTCTTTTACTAAGTTTTAAAACATTGTTTAATTTGTATAAAAAATAGTTGCGTCATCTTGTATAAAATGACAATTGTTAGACAAGTTTTATTATAAGATATATATACATATATATATCGTTTGCACGAGACAAATTTATAATTTACCAGGTACTTCAATTTTATCAGGATCTTCTTCATCATCAAAGTCACTCCCACTAGTATCATCGCTCACTCCATCATCATACTTTTTTGTTGCCTACAAAAATATATATTACGATTAATAGATACCACTTGATAAATTGCAAAAGCAAATATCAAATCAAATGCAGAAGATAAATTAAAAGCATCTTTAAAGTACTATATAATACGTCTACAACCAGAAAATATTTAATCATTTTAATGAAAATTGCATGATCTGTAATTCAGATCTAAAAAAAATTTGAATTAAAGAATAAAAATATATTTATAAGAATCTCATAAATTATTAACATTTTTTTGATGATACTGCAATAAATCCGAATAACATTTTTCATCAAGCATGCATCAGATGCAGATAAGTATTGCAAAATTAAAGTAACAAAGTATTTCTCTCATAAATTTATTATAATGCAATATCATTTACGATTCCGATCGCGTGGTAACAGTTCATCGAAATGCGCTTGTTCGGCGCGAAAGAACAAAAAAGGGCACATCGTGCACACGAGTCTCTAGGTTAGTCGTTTTCCTGTAGACGAAGTGAATAAATACGACAAGATACGGGCTAATCCTCGATAGGAAGCGCGTGCCCTTTCATGTCGTTTGGAAATATATCTCCGTCTTTCTCTCTCTCCCTCTTACATTCTTTATTTCAGCCTTTGTGAATATGAAGAATAAAAACCCACCATGACAAATGAGGTGTTGCGGGATCTCGTGTGCGTTCCTTGTCACGATGTGTGGCGGTGCTAGGACGATAAGGACGACGATGATTCCTTAGCGCGAGGTCGCGTAGATACGCTACTAGTGTTACTGGCAGAATATGCGGGCCCCGAGACAAGCGAGCGAGCGAAGTTTTTTTTGGCCCGATTAAAGGAATCGAGAAGGAACGCGTGTTGCATCAAGCTAACATCGCCGACGGTTCCCGCGGCGATTATCCGGTGATGTTGTAAGCGAACTACGAGATCGGCGTGACGGTTGTTAGCACTGTACATGCGAGCCGGGCCATCTCACGCGATTGTCGTCGATAAGCGCGCGCGCGATTCACGTCGTGAGCGCGTTCGCTCGGCTACCGCCATATTGGCCCCCGTCCCCCGACCGTCCCGTCGTCCAGCATCGCAACCAACGAAAATACAAAAACACACGCGCCTGCTTGTAGTGCGCGCCGCTGTCACCGATGGCGCTAGCGAGCGGACGCGCTGTTGCCAGATGCAGTGGCAGCGAATAAGGGCAGATTCGCAGGGCGCGGGAGCCAAAAAATTGCCGCGTTTTCGCGATTAATCGCTGCGCGATGCGCGACCGATCGCGGAAGAGGATGACGGGTGTTCGCATCCGCGAGATTTCTTTTCTTCCCTGATCCCGCTAAGCGAGGAGAAAAACCCAAGAACGTTATCGGAAATTCGATATTCATCAATGTTTCCGTAATTGAATATTTTTTCGTCACCCCCTCTCCCATCTTACTCTCACAATTTTTAAACAAGATCGCTCGCTTGCGATGAAACTTGCGATGAACGTTTCTTTTCAAGCATATTCGAATCGATAATCGCAATAATAGCAAAGATTCATTACGAGCTAATATATAAAGCGTTTATGAATATGGTCATTACAATTTAAAATGCAAATTTTCAAAAGAAATTTTCAGACTATTGGTTTCGTTACTCGTGTTATACGTACCATTTTAAGAGAGCGCACGAATCCAAAATTTAAGATGTTCGCTGAACCGTTGTTGAACCAACAATAAAACCGTCGATGGTGAATGAAAGATCGAGCGGCGATTAAAAATAGTTTTTCTTGATAGTATTTTTAACACTGGCTTTTGTTTATTCATTCACGTGTATACATTCACGATCGCAATGTGACTGCGACACCACAGACGACACAGGAAGCTGATATACTGCCATTAACAAGATGCTATTAAAGATGGCTAACTGTATGGAAATTTTCGTAGCTTTCCTACACCCTCGTGCTCTCTGTGGGTCGAAATAAGAAACAATAATTCAATTAACTATAAATGACAATGGCTACAGATATGCTGTTTTATAAATATATATAAAATATAACCGTATCATAGATGTAGATACAAACTTAAGAGACAATCGTAAATTGTAAAATTGATATCGCATTTTAAATAAACGTTCACAAATATACCGAGTAATTAATCGAGAGAGATTGTAACGTCAATGCTCTCTCATTATCCACCGAGCTCGTTAATTAAAGTTGCGAAACTCTACCCACGACCGTAGCGATGTAGCGTATCATGTATATGTATATATTCTTGGGTATGCAGACAATGGCGGATGTTGTACGCTTGGCAACATCGCCGATGCGTGCGACGCTGATCGTTAGATGATTTAAAGTATTCGCGCTAAAAAGAAAAGAACCCGCGCCGGACGAATTCGTGCAAACGCCTATTAGAACCGTTCGATCGCGAATTTCGGTACCGTCGATCGAAATGCGAGGTTTCCGGTCGCTCTAACGACCAAAGTATTTCACGGATACATCGTTTAGCGCGACGCGATCACCGATAAATTCGTTTAAAAAATAATAACGTTGACGCTCGAGTGCGGCGATCGATCGGCCAGCTGCGCGCCACCAGCAGCGCCGACGCGCGGCCGCTAACTCAACTAACTACTGTCACGCGGGAATTTCATCTCTCGCGTCAATTCCCGATATGCAATGGATTTTGGTGTTTCGTATAGAAAAATTTATTCTTTCCATCTATTCGATTATCCATAATTAACAAATAACAGAGTATATAAATGTGCAAATTTCTATGATTATTATATTCTTAATTTATGCTTTTCATGTACGCATTAAAGTCATGAAATAATTTATACACACTCGATATAAACGATAATGCTTCAAATGTTTCATAAAAGTGTATATAAAAGATCATTAAGGATGAGTTAAGAGTTCCGCTGCGTCTAATTGGATATCGGCCGTTGCGCGCAATATGGCGACACATCCGGCGCGTAGCTTGCTTGTATAATTTCAAGACTTCTTGAGCTGCAGAGAAAGAGAGAGGATTGTAATCCGCATACACAGCTTGTCGTCTGTAAAATAAAACGACGCAGCGAAGCCGATATACGCACGTTGACGAGACGCATACGAATTTATCGCGTCGCGCCGCGTTGCATCCTCGCATGACCGTTGCTGCCAACCGTTAACCGTTAACGCCGCTGTTATTGCTGCCATCCGTCCGTGAGTGATCGTGCTCCATCAGTGACTTATCATGTACAGAACGACCCGGGCGTCGTCCCACCGTGTGAGAAACCGTGCCGATAACGTTGTCAAAGGTGAGGATACGTCGCGCATCGAAATTTTCACTCAACATTTAGCACCGGCCCCACAATAGGGTTATGTTTTGAATGGATCTTGTTTCCTCTCTCGCTCCATTTTGAACGCTATCGTAGAGACGCCTCCAGACTTTATGTCTCTCGACGTCTCGTACTTTCCATCGCGACATTTATCAACTCTTTTTCGAGAAATGTCGATCTTGTAATTTCTTAAACGCGAGAGTTGCTCTAATTATTGGACTGTTCTGATAACGATGGTTTTCGTTAGGCTGTAGTTCGTGATCTTTGCGGACTCGGCTTGGAGCACCTGGGTTAGATTCTAAATTAATATGGAGTATGATAGTTTAAGTTTAGGATGTCAGTTGCATAGCGATTTGTGTAGAAATATGTGAGATTAGTTTTGATTATGGAATTTTTAATTTTTAATGTAAATTTGTCATCCTTCTTTTTTTGGAATTTTTACAATTTAAAAATTATACAACTTTCTTTTTTTTTTATATAAAAATTTTTGTTTATCGAATTAGCAATTATATTTCTATAAATTTTATTTAGTGGTATATATTAACATATACATGTATTATGTTAACATATACATATATTATATCAAGTAATATTTATAAGTCAAAATCATAAAATATAAAAATTGATATCTAATATCAATTCTTTTTTATATTCTATATTATATTTCAACATTTTTATATATAATATAGCATTATTTTTCTTAATTTTAAAAAGATATTAATTGTTATTAATATATGTAATTAATGGCCTATACAGGAAGATGGAAACATGATATAGAAAAAAATATAACTGTATCTTTGCCTGTGCAAAGTAATGATGCAAATTCACCTGTGAAAAAGGAGAGTAAATTATTTGATATTAATAAAAAAGTGACAGATAGAGTTGATATAATTAAACCACAATCCATATTGGAAACTCATAAATCTTCTCCATACACAATTCATTCTTATCAAGTAAGTATCTTAAAATCTATAAATCTCTTAAATATAATTGTATTTTCATAAAAATATGTATGTAAAGTAAATATATTTTACTTACTGTGAAATACAAAATATATATATATATCACTGCAGCATTATTTTATTTGCTTCAGAATTCAAATGTGGAAGTTACGAAGGGGAAAAGTCCTGTGTCACTTGCCCACTATCTTTTTGGAAATGTGCAAACTGTTTCAACCTGTGAAGCAAAAAATAAGGTTATCTCTGATGTAGAACAATTCAAAACCGATGGTATAAATCATATAAATCTGTATATCCATATTTGATTTTTTTAAATTCAATTTATGATACATAAAAACTTTTATTTTAGAGACACCGGTGGCTGTTCCAATTCATGGGCCATCTACACCGCATAGAATAAATATGCCATCGGAAGATATAAATGAAAAAGCTACAATTACTACCAACGGAAAGCAATCTGTGATTACATTACTTAGCCCATTGCAAGTTGTAAAAAAGTCTGCTCCACGTGGACGTAAAAAAGCAGTTTCCAATCAATCCATCAATCATCGTTCGCTCAAACCACAGGGCGCTGAAACAAATCATTCTATTACCGATTATTTCCCAGTACGTCGTAGTGTCAGAAAAAGTAAGAAGACTGTATTGGAGGAGAAACAACGTGATTTAGAAAATAAGGTACTTTGTCAAGTGGAGGAAGGCTTAGAGGTAAGAACCTGTATAATAAAGATATTGCAGAAATATCAAATTTTTTTTTACATTTTTATCAAATAGTTCTGCAAATAAGTTACAATTTATTTCTTATTATAGATCAGAACTTTTCCGGGTAAGGGTCGTGGTGTCGTAACGACGCGAGACTTTGCTAAAGGCGAATTTGTAATTGAATATATCGGCGAGCTGATTAATCAGGGGGAGGCAAAAGAGCGCGAAAAAGTATATGCGCAAGATCAAAACGCTGGATGCTATATGTATTATTTCCAACATCGTAATCAGCAGTATTGGTAAGAGACTCTCTGGATTTCGTTGAAATAATTATTCTTAATGTGGAAACGTTGTATAATAACCGATTAAAACAGATAGAAAAAGCATAAATGTTAATAGATATAATTTTCAGTGTCGATGCGACAGCAGAGACTAAGAAATTGGGCCGATTAGTCAATCATTCGCGAAACGGCAATTTGGTTGCGCGAATTGTCGAAGTCAAATCGACACCACATCTCGTACTTACAGCGAAAGAAGATATACCGATTGGTGTAGAGGTTTCATACGACTATGGAGATCGGAGTCGCGAATCCATTCGTCATCATCCATGGCTGGCGTTATAGCACTTTTTATTTCATTATTTATATAACATTATGTTAGATTGTACAAAAGGAATATTCTTATTTTTCTTCCTCCTATGAAGGAACATCATATTTAGATTATGTATATGCTCTGAATTGTGTACAAATTATCTTCAAAAGCAAAGCCACAACATATTTAGTAATTGGATATGCGACTTTGCAAGCTTTTATGTTAGTGAATTCCAAAAATACTTTTTTTTACATCACTTTACGAAATTAATTTGTTTGTGACTGTACAAGAGAAGTTATAATTGTAAATAATTAATTTTTTCTTATAGTAAGAGTGAAAAATGATTAGAATATTTTAATGTGCTTTCTTAATGCATGACATGTCATCGGATTTTATTATTAGATTCGATTTAATATTCTCTTAATAATGGTTTTTGAAAATATATATTTCTGAATTGTTGTTATTCAACATGTTCAACACGAAACAGTATTACCAATTGAATTGGAAATTTTGTATTTGCTCTTTAAATTGTGATGAATCG